CACAGAATCTGGTAAGTGTCCTGGCGAATGATTTGAAAGAGTGACTGCCAACGAGCTCGAGGTGTGCCACCTTGGTGGTCATGCAGATAAAGATCACAAAGTAGCCCTTGCTTGTGCGTATGCCTCAGCCCTTAGCAGACAAAATGTTAAACAGCCCAGTGTATCCTACTTGAGTGTGAGAAAACGTGCGAGCAGGGGTGACCCATGTGGCCAGTAAAGGTGCCACGTGTTGAGTGGCCAGCCGTGCTTGCAGTCGTGCGCAGACAATGCATTCACAGAGGACGCTTTTGGCGAATGGTATGGGACTACTAATCGGATCCCTGACATCGATTTTACTGTTGTAAAATGAGTAAGGTTGCAATGGCTCATACGTAGGAGGTAAAAAGATTTTATTTTTTTTACAGCCGTACGCGTTACCTTGAAGGTCTAATGACACGGCCCACAACAATTGCGATTAAACGTCTTTTAAGTGTACTATTTGCAAATGTCACTGTAAATCATTAGCATCAGCAGAGGGTAATTATCAGAGAGTAAGCGTTAGCAGTATTTGCTGGATGAACTAACCAAATTTCGTTATCATTCAAAAAAAAGACTTGTTGCACTTTCAAATCCTTACAAATTAAGTTATTTTTCGGATAATAGTAAGCAATACGTATAAATACTGCATGCTCTTTTGAATGCTCCAACGTTGTATTATGAAATCTTATAAATAAGTCTGCCATAATGGTAGATTGTGTGTGTAAAGTATCGTCATATTCTGTCTTTAACAGTTTTTATTAAATGCTCAGCTATTGCGGCCTTAGTCTGTGGACTACTTGCTTCTCTGTATTTAACTTTATTTTTTCATAAAACAGATTATATTTTATAGCCTACAAATCTTTTACCTTTATGTGTATGCAGACTCATTGTTATACAGTCCTCACATCTTGATAAAATATGTTAAAAGGCTTTGGAGACGTTTTTTGATATTTTATCCTTGATGTGCTTCGCCCAGGCATATTTGCTGACGATATCAATGACTACGAGAATTGAAGCATAGCCATCGTTGTAAATTTTTTATACACTAAAACCTATTAAATTAGCTTCCCACACGTCGTAGAATTAACGCACGTCATAGGTTCTTCTGAGAAGGCGATTTGTATGGTTCCAAGTACATTATAGGCAGCTTGACGCTCTAGCCAATTATTAATGTTCGATAACAGATATTTTCTTTCCCAGCACTCTTGAGTTTCATACAACCCACATATGCAGTTACTCACGCTGCTGCGTAGTAAAGTTTTTGCTTAAAATTTCTGTTAAAAAAGCTTTTTAAATGTCAAGAGAACGATTTGTTTTGTTCTCCACAAGTTTTCTTTTTGCATCTTTGCCTTGGTCACTTTTCTGCTAAACCAATGCCATGTTCTCACTTACATTGACGGTGGCACTACTTTTTAAATTTTTTTTAATATTTCGGAAAATATCTTGATTTAGTATACCTTTGATTAAGAAAACTCTTACTATTTAACGATCTTGGGCTCTTATTTGGCAATTTTTAGTTATAATCGTCGTCGTCGTTGTTGTCGTCGATCACTTATTTTCATACTCAGACGTTTCTAAAACACTGAGGTGGGATGTTCACCATACGAAGTGCTATTGCAACCTGATCATGCCCTACTATTTAATTTTTTTTCCTGTTCCTTAAGACATTGTTTACAAGATTGAAAGTCTTTGATTGTAGTATGCACACGCCACCTATGAAAAGGGTATGCTTATTGCTCTGTCAAATTGCTGTCAAATTTATTAAGGTATAATTTGAAATTTGTTAATATTTTATTCACCTTTCTTGATTGTCATTATAAGATACACTTCAAACATTGTTAATTTTTGTGCTTAGTTGATTCGTCATTCTCCTCGTAACTTGCACAGATCTTAGGCCATTATTGATAAATGTGTTTTGCAGTCAGTCTACGATTTTCTAAGGTAGAAAAATTAACTTTTTACATGCTTTATGTTTGTTACAGCATTAAAAACACTTTTCTACGGAGCTGACCTAAAAAAGCAGGTAAGAAACGTCCTCCTTGTGGTATAATGATTTTTCTTCAACGATGAACAAATTGTGCCTTCACGTGTATTCTGAAGACGTTGACCTATCTATGCAAGTGTTTTTCGTGCGACGCAGTTAGAAAAACATTTTCTTTAATAATGATTAACACGCAAAGGCAAATATACTTGTTTAGCGTCGTATCATTTTTGCGCAACAGGGCCCTCTGTTGTTCCGATCCAGATAATGGAGAGCTTTAAAAATGGTAGAGTGTTTTGACTAGAAAGAAAACTTGACTTTGACACCATCATAACGATATAATTGGAACTTAGTTCGCCGTGTCGTTTTCTTTGTTTGTTTTTAAGCTACATTTATGTACAGATTCTCGTCATCCGGTAAAATGCAAGTTTAAAATTGACAATTGTCCAGCGTATGTATCTTGAGATCCTAGAAAAGGTAACCAAATGTTTATGAAGTAGCATCCTGATATGCTTCTTGCACAAACCAAGGAATTTTCAGGTATACTTGTATCAAAAGATGTTGTATTTGTGTGTAATCTAGTCAATTTTTAAAGATGACAATGTTTGGCAAATTAAGTGATAGATTACGATGGTTCTTCTTATGATAAAATATATTTTGCAGGATAAAGATTACGCTCAAATTTTTATGAAGGCTGTTTTAGTAAAAAAGTTGTCCATATCACTAGAACTGAAAGTTTGGTGCATTAGATAATCAATAATAACCAGTTTTAGTCTATTATTTATCAATCAATATCGCACGTTCAATCGCTATTTTGAGGAAACTGCTCGTAGAATTTAATATCACTTCCAAGATCGCGATAACTAGATTGCCACACACCATAACAAAAAATAAGCTACTTCAAACGAGTATCATTCATACGGCTTATGTATCGCAAAAACCGTCTGACAAACACGGTCTCTCTGCAACCAGTAAGTCCACTCGATGTGCCCGTCCTCGAGTATTGCCATTAAGTATCTATTCTGTCAAAACTAAACTTTGTCGAAAAGCTGAGCGACTACGTCTGGAGCCTCTGCGTATTGCTTGCAAGACTGCGAGCACTTTTAAAAAGCTAGTGCAAAGGTGGCTTGCACAACCAATCAGCTCGTTTTGTCGGATCGACTGCCAATCACTCTTTTTGCCAACGCCATTACTGTTGAAACTTACATCTAGGATTGTCTTCTGAATAATTTTTCCTAAAAGTTTTGTAACTACTTTTGTACGGTAGTTACTCGTGCAACTGAATTTTTTTTCTAAGGTTAAAGAATGTGCTAATGTGAAATTTCTTGAAAAAAGTTTTATAAAACAAGAAAGTATAAGCGAACATTTTACTGCTTATGTTAACGTTGATTATAAAGATTCTGCCGTAATGGTTTTAAGAATGTGCCAATAGGTAGTGATAACATACACTTAAATAACCTTAATCGTAGAAAAGTCTGGCACAAAGTCTTCTCTTTTTAACGAGTCATGTATTGGCCCTGAAAAAGGATGTTGTTTTTCAAACGTTTTTGTCGGGTCATGAAGAACTTCCTAAGAAACAGATTTTCAATTTTTTTTTTCTTACAATTCTTCTAAAAGTGAAGTTCGACAATCATCATCCTCGTCCTTTGAATTATTTGCAACAAAGCTTAATTTACTTAGTTTCAGACCTATTTTATTGAATAGTTGTGCAAGCATTCACTGTTAAGAGATTAATAATCAAACGAAAGGCCGCGGTTGTACATTTTTTGACTGCACATTTGTCCATCCTCTACTTTCTCATGATACCGTAAATTTTTTGAGTTATCACAATGCGAAAAGCATTTGTAGTTTAACTGCACAGTTATGTCTTTGTAACCGTACGAGTACCTTGCATCTACAGTTATAAATCTCCATTTTCCATAAACTGGTTTGTAATTTCTAGTTTCAGATTCCTACAGCACATCATAAAAAGCTCTAAGCCATAAAACATTATTTTACAAGGCGAAATCTGGTACATCTGATTTTATCTATTCGTGAACTGTGACAAAATTTATCTTCTGACTGTGGATATAATTTAAGCTAATACCCTTCAAATCACCCTGCAAATGTACTCTTTATTGCCATCATGCTTTTTATATTAGTAAGCGTAAGACTTTGATCACCTAGATATTAATAATGTTATGTATGGACCAATACGTATACCAGACAATTTGTCTGTAAGACAGCCAAGCATTTTCCCGTGATTTAAGTTAGGTTCTCCTTCTCGACTTACGTAGAAGACAGAATGCATGTCATCATATAGTGTACGTGGCCCCAATACATGTAAGTAGCTGAGCAATTTTAACTAAACTTGAGCCGTAACGAAATCAGCTATTACTATGTCTGTTGACACAGTCAGTGTAAAAACTCTCTATTTTATAGCTTCAGTTTACGTGAAACGTTTCATACTTTGTAGCCAAGATACCATTTACTTCTTTTACTATATTAAAAGAAGACAGCCTGTAAGCACTGTTTATTTTATTATTCTACTTAAAAAAGCTTCCTGCAAATAAATTATAAATATATGCTACACATAAGAAGTGGAAGCTTGAATAGGATCTGAAACAATATTTCCTCATTCCTGTAAGGATGTTACTACCTTTGAGAAAAATTATTCTTCGTGTTTCTATCGTTAAGCTTGCATTATAATTTTTTTAAAATTGTTTCTTTTTCCTACAAACATGAGGTCTAATGAAGTGGTAAAAATTAAAGTAATAAGCTCCTTTGTGTAACTAGTACATAACATAATAATATTATTTTCTCCTTTATTTATTGACAAAAAAAAGATAAGAAGTTAGATTATAGTTTGTAGAACCTGAGGTATTAAAAGCAAAATACTGGGTAAGTAGCTAATGGTCTTAAATATGCAATACTTTATCTCCATGGTAGTAAATACTGTATTTATGACGTCTTAAAGTATTATTTTGAAACTGTGGACTATAAGTTCATATTTTGTGCACAGGACATAAACAAGAAACTGTTACATATGAATCACGGATCTCTAGCTTAGTAGAAATAAGAGATACGGATCTATCAGGAAAAGAAGCTGTTGCTAGTAGAGTTATCAATCCAGGAGATGTCTTACTAGCTGATTACCCGATCGCATCATTCCTCATACCACAGTTTTTTGAATCTCATTGTCAGTACTGTCTTAAAAGGTAAGCATAACTTCACGTCTTACGGCTCACTTAGATAACATAAAAGACAATTGGTTACATATACAAAAAAAAAGTAAGCACATTTAAGCTGCTACAAAAAAATTGATTAAACAAATTGTAATTATTTTTCGAATTTATTTTTATTTTACAGTTAAAAAAAGTTGTAAAAACCATATTTATTACAGCTAGGATTGAAAAAAATAACTACGTTATAGATAAAAGTAGTTGTTGCAAAGATAACAAATACTTTGGTTTCGTATAAAAACTGATGTTATTTAATATTTTTCACTTCAAATAATTAACCAACGATTATTTGACTATTGTTTTAATGGATGCTAGCTTTTCATTAAAAATAAAAATAAACTTCTTTTCAGTTATTGAAAGTATTTTAATTGTTTTGAAAGTAACATATTAACAATGCTGAGCTTAGTATCTGTGCTAGAAACTACTTGTAATAGTAATTCTTTATATGAAATATTTGCTGCGTGGAATAGTTTAAAACAGTACCACTTCTAGAAGATAAGTGACCATACTAAATCATATTTTAAAAAGAAGTATGTTGAAGCATTGTAAATTAATATCGATAAGAATAGTCCCATCTTATTGAAAAAATGGCAGGTAAAAAAACATCAATAAAAACATGAATCGTTATTTCCTACAAAAAGTTACACTTTTTAAAAGTTATTAGGGGATAGTGTACCTATCTCCATGCTCTGCCCTATTACTGTGGATTTGAAAAAACTGATGATTACTTGCTCAAAATAAGAAATGTTTCGTATAAAAAAATTTTTTAATTTTAATAATCTGAAATGACGTTAATGTTGATGCAATTCAAACAGAAATATTTGTGTCTTTTTTGAGTAAATAATTATTTTCCACGGTATTCGGTACAACACCCTCATTAACTAATTGTGTACGTATTTCCGCGGTGAGCGTACGTAAACATAACCCTATACTTACAGAACTCACGACAGTTAACACGTAAACAGTTAGTAGGTAAGCTCGTCGATCTAACGTAACCAAGATGAAAAAAACTAAAAAAGGCAAAAAAAGCAAAAAAGGCAAGAAAGGCAAGAAATCAATCGAAATAAAGAAAAACAAAAAGTGTTACCCTCCAGAGACATTAAAATTAGCTTTGAAAAGTATCTATTCTGGAAAATCTATTGCTGAGTGCTCAAAAATGGATAAGATTCCTACTAAATGAATAAGCAAGTACAAAAAAAAGGAATATTTTTTTAAAACAATAAATAAGTCATGTAAAAAATGTAGGTGAAATTTGTATTTTTTTTATATTCCGCAAATACAACTTTCTTCACCCACGGTAATACGGACACGGTGATTGGGACATCCGCGGTAATATGTACACGGTAATAGGTACACAACCACGGTAATACCAGCATACCGTTTTTATTCGTTTTAAAAATATTCTACTGCAGTTTTAGCTTTATAAAATTTTTTTAAATATTCCGTAAGAGATTATGTAAGATTTAAAAAAAAAAATATTCCAAAAAATTTTAGTATACCATTTTTTATGGTGCATTTGAGTTGGAATTTTCAGTACGTGCCACGGAGATAGGTACACTTACCCTATTACTCACATTGTGAATAAAAATACTAACGAAGTTATAACAAAGAAAAAAAAATGCCTTTAAACGAATTATTATTATTGAGTACATTGGTAATTATTGTGTGTGGGGCTATCGACACTCACTAACAAATTCAAGCCATGTGAGTTTTTACAAATTTCTGGCGACATCTGAAAAATATGTTTACTTTTTTTATTCGTTAGCAAACGCCAAGGTGGGAAAGCAATCGACTTACAAATAACTGTCATATCTGGCTTACTGGATTAAATAGAACTAGGTGAAATTGCTTCGGTAGAAAAGGGATTTTCTGACACCAAGGCAAAGTTGAAGTAGAGAAGAAGAAACATGTTATGAGTAATACCTTTTTTTGAACAAAGTAATCATTTTAAGAAAAATGGAGTTAAAGAAACTTACCAAATTGTCAAAATTCGTATTTATATTAAAATAATAATGCAAAGGATTAGGACTCTGAAAGTTGTTGACAAATTAACTATTGAGATACTACTTTATTGTGACCCTGTGACTGTAGTGGGTTGTGTTTTAGTGATTTTAAGACTCTTAATAAATGATTATAACGAAAAGTCATAACAAGCAAATTTTTACCTACCATAATAGTAATACTAAATTAACAACTACACTTTCTTAAATTAAGTTTTCGGTTTAATTTGTTGTTAATGCGACACCACATGTTCTTTTATTTATGTTTTATGCAGGACCTAATGAGTATTTATTCACTTTAACTCTAGAAATAAGTTTGACTTATTATATTTAACATAGACTTTTCTAATGAACTAATACACCTTTTTGCTTAAGTGACTGCAGTCTTTACATTTAAAAACTTAATTTTAAATTTTTTTATACGACTTTACAATAGTTACACAACGTGAGTACTATGTAATTTACATAAAAAGGTTGCACATCTTTTAAAAAGCTGTCATTTTTTTTAACAGTTACAAGACAACTGCCTCTGGGAGACCAAACTAAAGTCACATTCTGTCAATCCTATAGTATAATTATGTATTCGACATTAACTGTTATACTTATGTAATTCATTTAAAAAAACAGCTGACTTGTATAAATACTACTAAGTTACAGTTAATTTAAATAATGTATATTCTAATATAGGTTTATTTTAGCAATATATTGGGCATTGAATTCCTTAAGTCTTAGTGATGCATTAATCAATGATCACAAGTCCACCTCAACTAGTACACAACCACAGAAGATGGTAGTACAAAAACTCCTACTTATTGGACATCTTGCTTACACAATTTTTTTATACTTCTTTAATATAACCTTTTAGTTTTTAATTTCATATTCAAAAGATTTCGATTAAATACATTTTGATGGATGGACTAAGTCATAATCCAGACCATCACAGTATATAATTGTACAATGTTCATTTATATTCTCATACTTAAATATGCTTTTAAGGGAAAAATTAATGCCCAGTACATCGTCAAAAGAAAGATCATAAGACTCTACGTTTATCAGAATTTCAGGAGTAGGAAACGCATCAGTTATGACTAGTGGCTTTAAGTAAATACATTTTTCTAGTTTAGCATCACTTGGCTTATCCTATTCTGGCTTAAAGGTGGTCTTTAAACTGCTTTGATCAATGTTTACATAATAGATCAGAGCGTATATAAGCTTTTGCTTTTGACTTACTCCACTTATACAATTACATGTTGCATGCATTATTTTTCTACTTTTATTTAACTGTAAACTAAATTCAGTAAGTATCTGGTTAGGATCAAAAAATCTCTGAATTTTAACATGAATACCATTGACTTCTATTTGTATTTTGTACAGATGCTTAGTAACAGAGGTTTTTGTTACGATACTGCACTTTAATACTTGGGTGTCTTTCAAGCCATTTAATTCTTATGTTTTTCGTAATGCAGAGCTGCTAACATTTCGCCTTTCACAGCTTTTTAAGGCTAAAATTTTTTTGAGTGCGATATTAAATCAAAATCTGTTCTAATTATCATTGCTATTAATTATTTTTTTATAGTTATAATTTTGAGTTTAATTTAAACGTAACAATAAATGACAATTACAGGCATTTATATAGTCCTTAAACTTCTTTATTCACTTGAGTAATCAAAACATCAGTTTGCATGATCACCAGTTTTCTACAGGTGGTACTGTTCCAAAGTGTTGTACAAAGCAAATACTGATCTTTAGTATAATTGTTTAAAGCAACTATAAATTCTTTTCAATTTGAAATTTATCACTAGTTAAGAAAAAATTAGCATATTTTTACATTTCTACAAATGAATGTATGCTAAAGGAGAAGTGGCTTTAGCTCAGTGGTAAGAGTGCTTGTTACTGATACAATGCTTTTCTAGGGGCTGTGGGTTTGGTTCCCAGTGAATGCAGATTTTTTAATGAAGTGTCTTTATTGGCAAAGGTTCCTATGCAACCCTGGCTGTTTCGGGACGTATTTTTCTGTGAAATTTTCCTTCAGAGTAATTTGAGAGTTATTACCTGGCCCCACAGGTCTATGGGCCTTAGTTAATGCGAAACAGTGTTAGGAGGTAAGGATTAGCCGATCTGATGCACCAGGCAGCGATCACCGGCATTCCGGTGAGGAGTGGTTTCTAAAACATGGTGTTTCTCTGGAGATGCTAATTAGCCCCGATCTGATACTTCGGCAGAAAGCGCCAGCTCAACTGGCAAGGCGTGGACGTCCTGAAATATGGAGTCAATACACCCCCACACATAGGTGGTGAATAAATGGCCCTGGCGACTAGCACAGTAGGCTGTTGTGGTAACCAGTAGTCTTCATCAATATTGCATGCGGCACGTACCAGAAAGTTTAGCCCCTAACTTTCCGTCTGCAGCGCTACTGAAAGGTAAAGCTTGAAGCCCTGCCCACTGAGAAAGGCACAGAGACATTAGTGCAAGGGCACAAAAATAACATTACAAAGGTAATTCCACAGTCAAGAGGCGCTAGTGTACCCATGTAAGATTTTCAAAGAAGTATATCTATATTTTGAATGAGCACATATAGATTTACTTCTTTGAAAATCTTACATGAGCACAGTGGCGCTGGCTGATGGCGGGATTTCCCTCATGGGTATGTACATCATGCACAGCGCAGTGTGCTTTACATTTTCACAGATATAGATACACCAACCAATGTTATTCTTGTGCACATGTGTCACATATGCCTCTCTGCATTTTTCAGTTGATAGGGCTTATAGCCCGTGTTACATATTTCTACAACTTATCAGATAGTGCTTTTTCAGTGAGTTTTCACGAAATTCAATTTAGCCGTGTGTTTCGTATCCTAGTCCCTACCTCATACCTTGTTGCTGTATCCTGAAAACAACAACACTGTTTTGTTTGGTGTACGATGTTTGTAGATTATAATCTTATTTCTTCTACCTCTGCAACTCTTTTTACACA